GGGGCAGCCTTAGGGGGGGCTAAAGGGGTGCGTGGACTGTGAGTGTGTGAGCACACCCGTGTGTGCACAAGTGTGTGTGTATGCATGGCTGGGTGTGCAGGGATGTATGTGAACATCTGTGTGTGTGTTTATGCATGGTTGGGTGTGCAGGGGTGTATGTGCACAAGTACGTGTGTGTGTGTATGCATGGCTGGGTGTGCAGGGATGTATGTGCACAACTGTGTGTGTGTTTATGCATGACTGGGTGTGCAGGGGTGTATGTGCACAAGTACGTGTGTGTGTGTATGCATGGCTGGGTGTGCAGGGATGTATGTGCACAACTGTGTGTGTGTTTATGCATGACTGGGTGTGCAGGGGTGTATGTGCACAAGTACGTGTGTGTGTGTATGCATGGCTGGGTGTGCAGGGATGTATGTGCACAACTGTGTGTGTGTTTATGCATGACTGGGTGTGCAGGGGTGTATGTGCACAAGTACGTGTGTGTGTGCACTGCTGTGTGAAGAGGAATGTGTGTGCACAAGTGTGTGTGTGGAGGGGAGTGGCTTAAAGTGTGTATGCACAGGGGTGCCCGTGTGAACGTGTGTGTGTGTTTGACTGTGTGAGTGTGTGTGTGTGCATGCAAGTAGGGGGGACACACGCGTGGTTTGTGTGTGTATCTGTGCATCGGTGTGTGTGAGCGTGCACTCTGCATGTGTGTCTGCATTTGTGCAGTTTCTGTGTGCGTGTGATTTGCATTTGTGTGTTTGGGTGGTGTGTGCACATGTGCAGATGTGTGTGTGCGCACATGCGCATGTGTGTGTGTGCGCTGGGGGCCGTGCACACCTCTGGGGCGGTGCTGCAGCCCATGTAGGGTGAGGAGATGCCCCAGGGTGTCCCCGTGAGTGTCGGGAGCTGTGTGTGGGAGGCCGTGGGGGCGTGGGGTGTGTGAATGTGTGTGGGTGGGTGACGGGATGCAAGGGTGCATGAAGCCCTGAGGACCCCACCACCCAGGGGGTCCCTTTGCCCATCTCCAGCCCCAGCGCCCAGGAAGAAGCTGGTGCGGGTTAAAGTCGTGAAGAAGAAAGTGGTGAAGAAGAAGCCGAAGGCTCCAGCCAAGGACACGGCTGCTCCACAGGAGCCTCGTACGTACGCTCAGCACTTGGGGATGGGGCAGAGGGTCCTGGGGGGCTGCACAGGCACACACGTGTGTGCACACATCCCCGTGCCATGCACACGCCTCCACGCCATGCACAAAGAGTGTGTGCTCAGTGCACACCTGCGTGTCTTGGCATGTGCACCCACACATGTGGGGAGCAGCCCTTCCCCTGCACTTTGGGGGTCACAGCCACCATCCATGCCAGGTACACGCCGTCACACACACATGGTCCCCACAGTCACGTGTGCACACCCTGCACACACACAAACAGCAACACTGTGTACGCACCCTGCGTGTGACAGCGTAGGAACACCCCCCTGCAAACTGTGCACACGCATGCATGCACACACGTGTGTGCAAACACACACCTGTCCTGCAGTGGGGACGGGGGATGCTGGCAGGGCTCCCCCGCCCCCCTTTACGGGCTCCCCTGCCCCTCTGCATGGGGTTTGCGTGACGCAGAGTGGGGTTTGTATGACGCAGAGTGGGGTTTGTGTGACACAGAGCGGGGTTTGCCCTGGCTGCAGTCAGTGGCCATGTGGCCTGGCTGCGATCCTGTGCCAGGGGCTGGAGCTTGGGGTCTCACCCACTTGTTCTGGCACCTCCAAGCCTGGGAGTGGGGCCAGGGAGGGTGGCAGGCACGGAGCCGGCACAGGCAGGGCTGCTGCGCCTCGCCAGGCAGGCACATGTGCTGCAGCATGGCACAGGACCTGCCAGGCATTGCCCCTGGGCACAGGGTGGGGGAAGCCCTGAGGGAGGGACCCCTGCCTGGGGTCGCATGGGTGCATGGGGATCTCTGAGCAAGCCTGTCCCCCTCTGCTTTGCCCCCAGAGTGTCCCCCGCTGGGGCTGGAGTCCCTGCGGGTGCTGGACTCCCAGCTCCGATCCTCCAGCGACAAGCGCTACGGGCTGGGCGCCCACCGCGGGCGCCTCAACATCCAGGTAGGACAGGCAGCGTGTGCGTGGCATGGCGTGTGTGGTATGCACGGTGTGCACCATGGCACGTGTGTGGAGCACCTGGCATGTTTGCGTGGCTTGTGGCTTGTGTGTACTGTGTGCGTGGTGTGTGAATGGCACCCGTGTAGCAGGGGCTCTCCAGCAGGGACCCCTCCAGCCTCGCCGTGGCCGGTGGGAGCCAAACCTGTGGGCAGCACCGGACCCATCCCCATGTTGGACGGGGAGGGCTCTGTCATGGCTCCTGGCAGGGTCCCGTTGAACCCAGGGCTTGGTCCCCCGTTGAAGTTGTGCCATGCAGCTCGGGGTGCCATCCCAGTGCCGGTGCCATACCTCTGCCACAGGGGCACAGCGGGGCTGGGGACGTAAGGGCGGTGGGAACGTGCCCTGAGCGGGGTCCTGTGCCCCTCTCCCATCCCTGACACCCCCAACACACAGTCAGGGCTGTACGATGGGGACTTCTACGACGGCGGCTGGTGCGCAGGGCAGGAGGACACGGAGCAGTGGCTGGAGGTGGATGCCCGCCGGCTCACCAACTTCACCGGCGTCATCACGCAGGGGCTCAACTCCATCTGGACGTAAGGCACCGGGCAGGGGCAGCCCTGGGGGGCTGGGTGGGGGGCTGGGACCCTGCTTGACCCTCTCCCCCATGCAGGTACGACTGGGTGACATCCTACAAAGTCCAGGTCAGCAACGACACGCACACGTGGCAGCCGTGCCGCAACGGCTCTGAGGAAGCGGTAGGTGCCCCTGGGGAGAAGCTGCGGGCAGGGTTGGTGGGAGTGGGGGCCCCCCTGGGACCCCCAGCCCTTCCAGCTCCCTGAGCAGAGCAAGGTCATAGGGATTAACCATTAACTGTGCTGGGGGGGGTTAACCGTGCTGGCTGGTACTGGGCTGGGCTGGGACTCAGCTTTGTTGCCTTTGGCCTCTCCACCCGTGAGCATCCTCCAGTGCTTCCCCTGCTGGGCACCAGGCACAAAGGCTGCTTGTCCCCGGCTGCCGCCCCGGCTGCCTGCCAGGCCCCCCCGGTGCACGTGTGTGAGCGTGGCGGGGGCACACACGGCACACGGCTGGCGGCGCCCAGAGGTGAACGTGGCAGCCTGGTGCTCGGGTGCACACCTCTGGGTGCTGCCCACACAGGGACGTGTGTGTGGGAGGATGGAGGGGGCATATGGGGCACCCCAGTGTTGGCACACGTGTGTGCAGGGGGGGCGTCAGATATAGGGGCTGCCAGAGCCAGCCACGCTGCTCCCACGGCCAGCCCAGGAACCAGCACTTTTGGCAGGTTTGGGGGTCCCTGTGCCAGGGCTGGGGAAGGGGGCAGTTTGGGGTTCCTTGTGCAAGGGCTGTGCTGGTGGCAGCTTTGGGGGTCTCCAGGCCAAGTCTGTGCCAGGGGTGGGTTTGCTCATTCCTGGGAGGATCCTGCTGGGGACCCTCCCCTGTCAGGACTGGGGTGATGGGTTTGGGGTGGCAGAGCAGCACAGGCGCCCCAGGCCCTGTGGCACCACCGGGGCTCTGGTTCCTCTGTGGTGCCGGGCTCTGGGCACCCGCTGCAGCCCATTTGCCTGCTCCTCATTAGGGGCTGGAGAGGAGCCAAGGGAGGCCAGGGCCAGACATGGCTGCGGCAGCTGTAACCCTTTGGACCCTGGAGGGTGGCTCTGCTACAGCCCCCATCCCTGCGGCCCCTGGCTGGGTCCTCCCCCCGGCACAGGGACCCATAGGGGCTGCATCCATCCCTCCTCCCAGATCTTCCCCGCTAACAAGGACCCCGAGACACCGGTGCTCAACCTGCTGCCCTCGCCGGTGGTGGCACGCTACCTGCGCATCAACCCCCAGACCTGGTTCCAGAATGGCACCATCTGCCTGCGGGCAGAGGTCCTGGGATGCCCACTGCCAGGTGGGTGCCTGCTGCCCGTCAACCCTTGCCCCGACCTGCTAGCACCCAGGATGGGCACACTCTGCTGGCAACCATCCCCGGGGTTGGGGTCTGGGCTGTTCCCATGTCGCAGAATCTCTGACTGTGTGTCCCCTCTGTGCCCACCCGGCTCCTCGCAGACCCAAACAACATCTACGCCTGGGACAGCCAGCCCCTGCCCACCGACAAGCTGGATTTCCGCCATCACAACTACAAGGAGATGAGAAAGGTGCCTGCCCTGCAGCCCCAGCATGGGGGTGGGAGGGTCCACACCCCTGGGGGCAGCACAGTGTGGGATAATGGTGGTATCTGCACCCTTGGGGGCACCCTGGCATGGGGCAGGGCTAGGGTGCCCATGGACCCTGCCCAGGTGCCCCTGGCCCCTGACCCAGAGTATTGTCCTCTCCCCAGCTGATGAAGCGGGTGAACGATGAGTGCCCTGACATCACCCGCGTCTACAGCATCGGGAAGAGCTATCTGGGCCTCAAGATGTACGTCATGGAGATCTCCGACAACCCCGGGCAGCACGAAGTGGGTAGGTGCCCTGTGGCTGCCAGGTCAGGGAGGAGAGGTGACAGCTGGGAACACCCGGGCTGGTGCAGGGTGGGGATGGGGTGGCCGAGGACATCCAGGATGATGCAGGATGGGGACGGCGTGGCCAGGGATGCCTGGGCTGGTGCTGGCAGATGTGGACAGAGTTGCTAGGGATGCCCAGGCTGGCATGGGGCATAGAGGACCGAGGAGGCTTGGGACTCTGTTGCCACCGTGCGCTGTGCCTGGCAGGTGAGCCGGAGTTCCGCTATGTGGCGGGGATGCACGGCAATGAGGTGCTGGGCCGGGAGCTGCTGCTCAACCTGATGGAGTACCTGTGCCGGGAGTTTCGGCTGGGCAACCCCCGCGTGGTGCAGCTGGTCACCGAGACCCGCATCCACCTCCTGCCCTCCATGAACCCTGATGGCTACGAGACCGCCTACAAACTGGTAGGGTCGGACTGCGCGGCCCCAGGGTGCTGAGCACCAACCCACCGCGGGGCTGTCCCGATGCCGGTCCCCAGTGACCCTGTTCCTTGGCAGGGCTCGGAGCTGTCAGGCTGGGCCATGGGCCGCTGGACCTACGAGGGCATCGACCTCAACCACAACTTTGCCGACCTCAACACGGCACTGTGGGATGCTGAGGACAACGACCTGGTGCCCCACGAGTTCCCCAACCACTACATCCCCATCCCAGAGTACTACACCTTTGCCAATGCCACGGTGAGCCCGGCCCCACGGGCACCTCGAAACCCACCCCTCTTCCTGCCACAGTGTACCTGGATGATGCCCACCCATGGTGGGGCTGTGCTGGGGACAGACCCGCAGGGTCTCAACCATGTTCCCCAAGGCGGGGGTGATGGGAGCCTTTCCCCAAGCCTGGCAGGGACCCTCCTCTGATGGTCACTCTGATGCAGGGTCACTCTACCTAGGTGGCCCCTGAGACACGGGCGGTGATTGACTGGATGCAGCGGTACCCCTTCGTGCTGAGCGCCAACCTGCACGGTGGGGAGCTGGTGGTCACCTACCCCTTTGACATGACCCGCACCTACTGGAAGGCGCAGGAGCTGACCCCCACCGCCGATGACGGGGTCTTCCGCTGGCTGGCCACCGTCTACGCCACCTCCAACCTGGCCATGGCCAGCGAGGAGCGGCGCCTCTGCCACTACGATGACTTCATCCGCTTCGGCAACATCATCAACGGGGCAAACTGGCACACGGTGCCTGGCAGTGAGTGGGGAGAGGTGGGGAGGCTGTGATGGGGTGGGGGGAGCAGCCGAGGACCCCCCTGACAGTCCCTCATGTCCTGTGCAGGTATGAACGACTTCAGCTACCTGCACACCAACTGCTTTGAGATCACGGTGGAGCTCTCCTGCGACAAGTTCCCGCACGCCTCCGAGCTGCCGGTGGAGTGGGAGAACAACCGGGAGTCCCTGCTGCTCTACATGGAGCAGGTCAGGGACGGGGATGCTCTGGGTGGCTCTGGGGGGGGGGGAACACACTGTGGGGTCCCGCAGGGGATGTGGGCACCGAGGGGTCGGGGTTTCAGCAGGGGCCAATCAGATTGCAGCGGGACATCATGGCTCGGGGGTCCCAAAACACTCCTGGGGTTCAATGTCATCCCTCTGTGTGCCCCACGTGCATGGACCATGGGCTCGGCACGTGAGGCACGTGTGTGCTGTGAGTGGGGGGACATGTGCCCCCATGCCCAGGGCAGGCGTGTGCCTGGCACAGTGCAGACATGCACCCCACAGGTGTGCAGCCTGCGGGGTGCCTGTGCTCGTGCACACTGTGTGTGGCCAGTGCACGTGTGTGGCGTGCGTGCACTCCTTGAGAGGGTTTGTGTGTGCAAGGCGCGTGTGCCTGGGATGCCAGTGCCACCTGTAGCACACCTGTGCAGTGGGTGTGCACTGCCTGCCATGTGTGCCATGGCACCATGCCCTGCACCGGGGTGTGGGCACACAGAGCACCGAGTGTGGCACACACACATGTGTGTGGGGTGCGTGCACTCCTTGAGAGGGTTTGCGTGTCTGTGCATGTGTGTGTGCACGTGTGTGCCCCCTGCACACCCACCGCACTGACACCCGCTCCGGCCTGCTGTCCCCAGGTGCACCGTGGGATTAAGGGGGTGGTTCGTGACAGTGACACGGAGCAGGGCATCGCCAACGCCATCATCTCTGTAGACGGCATCAACCACGATGTCCGGACGGGTATGGTGGGATGGGTACGGTGGGACAGGGATGGGAATGTGATGGGATTTGGGGATGGGATTGGGGATTATGGATGGGGATGGAAATAGGATTAGGCTGGGAATGGGGATGGGATGGGGACAGGAATAGGATTGGAGATGGAGACAGGGAGGTGATGGGAATGGGGTAAGGATCGAGATGGCAATGGGATGAGTTTGGGAATAGGGATGGGATGGGGACAGGAAAAGGATTGGGGATGGGAATGGGAAGGGGATGGGAATGGGGACAGAAATGGGACGGGGACAGGAATGGGAGTGGGATGAGGTTGGGAATGGGATGGGCTGGGGACAGGAATAGGAGTGGGGACGTGAATGGGATTGGAATGAGGACAGGATTGGGGATGAGGACAGGGACAGGGACGAAGACGGAGAAGAGGATGGGGCTGAGGACAAGGGACAGGGCTGGGGCTGGCTGTGTGGCAGCCCAGCACCGATGCCCACCCCTCTGTCCCCCCCAGCCTTCGACGGGGACTACTGGCGGCTGCTGAACCCGGGGGAGTACGAGGTGACAGCGCGGGCCGAGGGCTACGAGGCGGCCACGCAGCCCTGTCACGTCTCCTACGAGAACGTGCCCACCCCCTGCAGCTTCCGCCTGGCCCGGCTGCGGCGACCCCGGCTGCGGGGCCGGTTGCCCGGGGGGGCCCGCCTGCCCCCCGACCTGCGGCTGCGGCGCGAG